CACACACACACACACACACACACACACACACACACACACACAACGAAAAAAACACACAAAAAGAATCAAAAGCTAAACAAAACAAACATAAACTAACAACATTTTCTTCGATTTCGATTTAGTAAGAGTTGTGCGGCACAATAGGGTCATTATTATAAGAGTCGAAAATTAGAGGTGTTACAAGAAAGTTAAATACATACAAAAAGATGGAGGAGAGATATGGATGATGGACGTTTGTTAGGAAGGAAGGAGCAAACCACATAAAGAGCTCTGGCCAATCACCCACCTTCATGTAAGCTCATATCGCTTTTTAAAAAATAAATAAATAAAACGAACAAAGCTCAGAGAATGGACTCAATAGAAGGAGAAAATAGTGGAAAATGGTCTCAAAGGAGATAAGGTAGTAGGAAAATGAAATTGTACTGGTTTTTCCACCATTTTCAACATGGTAAGGGACTTCCGAGTTTAACATCAATCTACAAAATGGGAAATTCGTGTGAAGTGCCTTTCCCAGGAACACAACGTCGGACCCCCGAACCCACAATCACACGGTGGGTCCGGTAGCCTAACCACTAGGCCACCGACGCCACCCAATGATATTGGAGATATCATCATCATCCGGTGCCTTTTTAGCCGACTGGCGTGGGTGATCATGAACCTCCACTTCCCTCTGTCTTGCGTTGCAGCGATGGTGTCTGTCATTCTTGCTGTTCCCATGTGTATCTTTTCCCCCTGTCTGCCTCTACCTCTCTTTCCATTAATCTTACCTGTTGTTACAACATTCTCCAATGCTTCTTTCCGCTTTGTGTGTCCAATGCATTTTGCTGTCGCTTTCGTGTATTCGTCATAAGCTGTCGTCTGTAATTTGCTTCGACCAAGACGTTTTTATTTGTTGTGTTCTAGCTGTCCATGGGATACGCAACATGCGTCTTATGAACCACAGCTCTGTCGCTTCAATTGTTCTTTCCAGCTGTCTATCGAGTGTCCATGCCAGATAGCTAGAAAGAACAATTGGGGCGGCACAGCTGTGTTTCATAAGGCCGGTCCCAGAATGGATTTGTAGGTCTGACCTGTAGCTCGCCAAGCGCACGCCGTCTGCGTGTCAGCACAGCCGCACTGTGCGTTGGCTTCTGTGTCTGAGTGAGCGCCCTCTGCGTGTCAGCACAGCCGCACTGTGCGTTGGCTTCTGTGTCTGAGTGAGCGCCCTCTGCGTGCCAGCACAGCCGCACTAAGCTAGAAGCACACAGGCCTACGAATGTAAACAGTCGAAACTAGGTCAACCTCTCGATTCGAATTTTTAATGTAGGATAATGTACATTTCTTGGGATTTTGTGGTCAAGCGATGATGGTCTATTAGTAAAGCACCTAATGATACTTACTGCTTGCTGATTTTGATGGTCTGTGAAGAATTTCAGTCGAAAATAAACACAAAGCCTGGCTGCGTGCGACACATGTCCGACGTGTTTTATGGTAGTGTCAATTGCCACCGAGTGACGCGGTGGCAATTGACAAAAATTGACTTTTTGTCAATTGCCACCGAGTAAATTGGAGCTCTTTTGCGTTGGTGGGTAGATCTAGCTTATTATGCTCGAGTGCTCGGTGTTGTGCGTTCGCCTCTCTGTCCCTCTGTGTGTGTGTGTGTGTGTGTGTGTGTGTGTGTGTGTGTGTG